TAAGGTGAGGGGGGTACAAAACTTTAACTTTCAGAAGCAAATTCAAAACACTTTCAATAGCCTGTCCCTGCCACGGGAATCTGAAAAGAACTGTCGTCAAATTTACGAGGGAAGTGTTGCATTGGTTCCGTGGTTTTCAACCCTAATGGCTGCAAAAGCGTGATGTAGGTTCCCTTGCGTTCGTCAGCTGTCCGCCATCCATGCGTCATCATCCGGACAGCTGACAACAATGTACTGACCACACGACATCCAATTTGACCGCACGAGCTCCAAATGACCACGTGAGTCCGCGAATAGGATTATCATATGTCAGCTGTCACGGCCCCTGTCTTTGTTGAAAATCTGTTGAATTGTCGCTCCAGTCTAGCTCGTATTGTCGCTATAAGATTATTACTTTATTACAACGTTAATGCGTGTGCAGTATCCTCCTACCAATATTCATGATCTGCGTATTCTACTGATGTTCAGGAGCATCTACATCCCCATGTCTCTTCACATAGCGTCTTAAGCGAATGTCACACTTCTACATTCCGTTTACCTTCCGCGTGAGTTGTAGCTGTTATTCTATTCAGGTTCAGACCTCAGCTCTTATACATGAAGTGTAGGATAAGACATATCCATTTTAAGAATAATCCATTTGCGGAACTAATGAATTTTAAAAAGTATAAATGATAACATCTATGAAAAACTACGGATTTATCCTGCGGTATGCAAGGTGTGCGCCAAGGCTATTCTCTTGCTTATCGGCGGTTGTAACATAAACCATAAGTAACGTTGTGTTCAAAGGTAATCTTGACAAGTATATTAAACATGTCCTATTTATCGGTTTTTCAATAAAACTTTGTCCTACTGGAGAAAATAGAGGTGGCTGTTTAACAGGTGTAATTAGATCGTTTCCTTTGATTGTCGCCAGCAGTCCCGTCACAATAGCGATTCTGTGAACATTTATCGCTTTGAAATACTGCGAATAAAAAGTATATTAAAGTCTAGCAGCTTACGTTCTTAGTTTTTCACCAACTTGGTTGATCTGATTTATATTCTGGCAACAATTTCGGGTCAAACTACCCGAATGAAAAGAAAGCCATAATAACCATCCAGGCGAGACCGACGGGTGGAGTATCAGTGACCCGCGAAAGCGAGTCAATTTTGCGTTAAGTTCGTAAACTCTGGCAAAGATGTGGAGTATGTGAATACTGAAACTGTGACCTTCCATATACATTTTATATTTGTGTACCTAGTGCAATGGTTAAATTTACATAGGTTACCAGGGACACGTTTTTTAAGTTTAGACAGCCCACTTATATGTGAGTAGACCAGAACTTTATGTAAATTCATATCTTGATTCAATACGTGTATGATGTATTTATCTTACCTTTCCATAATTTTTAAAAATGTGTCGTTGTTTTACTTCGTGTGTATCTTTCATTTTTTAAATTGAGTTATTGCATACCGTTTTGTTATTAATTTTGTTATGATATATGCTTTAAATGCATATCACATGGCATAAACACATTGGACTTGAAGACTGTTTTCGGTCAAAGTACTGATCCTTACAAGGAGGGATCTAGTGGCAATGCATATGTTGTGTATTTGAACAGAGTGTTGATCTTATATATGATACTACTTTTATTTTATGTACATTATATTAATAAGTAAGGCCAGTAGCATAAAGGGTCGGTACAGAGATCCCCGTAATGGTCAGGCATCTTGACCACTAACGTTTACAAGTAGATCCTTGTAGTAGTGAGGTGATATTTCAAACGCAGCACTGTCAACTCCACTACAAAGCAATGACGCTTACTTTCACTAAGTAAACAAGCAAAGCTTGAAAACCTGATTTATTTTCTTTTACGTCGAGTGTATAAAGTTGGTGTTGAAATATTCCCAGTGTAAATGCTTTAGACAGAAAGCCCATTGAGAGAAATTTATGTCCTCTCCTTTGATTTATAGAGACTTTGTGAGTCCCAGTTGTGTTGAAACTGATTACGCTCACGAAGGGAAATGCTATTGACATACGACCGGGTGAAATAGACACTGTCTGTGGTGAAATTGATTCATGTGAACTTATATTCATTATCATAATGCTTCAGTGTTGACGGGCGTTTATTGAGTCATACATAATGAATTCAACCGTTTCAGCATTTACTCAGTTATTTTGTAATTATTTCCTTTCAAATCAAATCGAACACTACTCCCTCACGTTCATGATGACTGGGGCTTTTGATATATAATGAAATTGACATAAAAAAATATAATATTCTGAATTAAAGCAGTATTTGTACATGCATTCCTGGATGATTTATTTTATGAATTTTTATTTTTATTTTAAATGGTTGAATTCGCATGATGTATTTTTATTAAAATTAATTCACTTGCTCACTTGTCAATCCGTACAGGAGTATAGTTGAAATTATTGATAAGAAATATTTTGATAATTATGAAAATTCAAAACCGTAAGCAAATTCTTCTGTGGTACGAATACAATTACCATTACATCAGACGCGTGTTTCAATTTTTGTCAACGAATATCAGAAAATGAAATATTGATAATAGTACCATGTTACCAAGGAATGAATTATTGAAATAGATCAATGAATTTTTAATGCTGTGTACCTTTATGAAAAATATCCTCAAACCTTGGACAGAGAAAGATATGTTTGACCTTGTTAACATAACATATAGTTTCATTCATGTAGTAGATATACACATTCATGAGTTTGTTACATGCATGGAGTGTAATGTAATTGATGAGGAGTATTGTGAAATGAACATGTGTCACTGCATCGCCTGGCACTGAAACTATGAAATATACACCGTTTTAATGAAATGTCATTACATATTTCTAATTTTGCAATACCTTTTTGAAAAGAAACTCAGAACTATTCGCAATGAAATATATTTGTTCATGATGATTGTTTTTTCATTTTTGTTTATAATTTGTTACTGTGTTGTGCAACATTTCCATTAATGTTCTTCAGAATGTCTCGTACTTGCCAAGCCGAATAAAGTTCTTAATGCCATTTTATGTCATTTAATTTTAAGTGTAAATATCTCAAGTACAATCATGTAAATAGTGTACGTGAATATCTCAATATAAAAAGCTGAAACTGTGGAAATGTTTGCTTTTAAGACATTAAGTATAGACTCATAGATTTAATAGGTGGATGGAAGGCGTTGAAACGGTTATTAAACAATCGTCTCTGTTTACGTTCAGTGAAAAGTCCATACAATATATCACAACAGAAGCCACATATTCACAAGAAGAAACCGACCCGATATATGTAATCTTACATAAACGTCACTATTGTCCAGGGAACTTTTGAAATCAATAAAAAAAGAAAACCCACCAGAAAAGTCAAAATATGTCAATCAATAATAATTTTATAGCGTTCCAATTATTGGGTATGCTAATAAACTCCGTATTAAATGCCCACATATGCAACAAGGCATCGATGTTAGGCATCTTTTGTCTCCTTCAGTGTGAACAGCACAATATTGTTAGCCTACAAGCACATGTCGCGCGTTAAAACCCGGCCCAAGTCGTTTCGAGCACGTGTTCACTTGTGTTGTAATTTTAAGGGATTCTAATGTCCGATGCCTTATAACACTTTTATTGCTATTGGCATCTGTTAGCTGAGTGACATGTTGCATGGTAATGTCTTTTGCACCGTAGGTTTTTAATATACCTGAATGACGAAAACGTATTTTTGTTCGTTCATCCAGGAAAAACATTTGTCCGTTGTTAGAATATGTATTGATAACTACACATAAAGGTTTGATGATTATTTGTGACATACATCCTGTATAGTGGTATCTTGTACATTTCAAAATATATGTTCTTTTAATCAAATACCATGACAGTCATGAATGAATGCATGCGAACTTCTTCTATTAGGACCATTCTCAGTGTTCCCACGAAATAAAGCCCTACCTCTAATGTGCAATCGAAAGAGTATTTAAACTGTATGAGCCGTAAAGCTTAAATAGTAAAAAATACAAATCACAAATTCACAAAAAAACAAATTTGCATTTACGACCGTTTGGGTACATTTCGAAAACATTTAAAGCACATTCTGTCATCGTTAAGAAGACTGTATACTATTACAATCACATTATGTATATTTACAACACCTGCCCAGCAGATAACATCGACTGAAATGAGCATCAATCTTTAGCAATGTCTTTGTAAGCTACAATAGCGAGCGCAATAAATAATCAGCTGATTAAAATCTACAACAATAACAATAATAGTTAACTTATCAAATAGGATATTTATTGTCCCATTTGGAGAATTAATTCATCCCCTATGGTAATCAAGGGAGTAGAAATGTTTATGGAGCTGTTTAGGCTAAAATTGACATGGAAACTGTCATTAGAGAACTGTTATCGCTGATGATATGTACATCGCTGCTGAAATGTACATCAGTTCTTCAGGAGGATGTTGAAAGGAAGGGTCGGATTCTATTGTGGAAAGGATTTGACTTCTGAATACAGAACATCTTTGTGATGGGGATATTGTTAATGAAATACTGAAATCTGCAACAAAGGTCCAGCACAAGGAATGGTTTTAGCATCGTCGTCTAAACCCCCGGAAGTGTATCTGGAATCTCTGTACCATTCGATCTCTCAAAGTAAATCTTAATCGTTCAAGGCACTGTTGCCAGACTAAGTGGTTCATTGTGTTCATGGTTGTGTGAATTCTTGAAGGATGTACTTCACATTGAAATATGATGTCTCCAAATAAGAATATTCCTGATTGTGACAAGCAATGTCAACAGAACCTACTTCTGGATAATCCGTTATTACGAATAATCAACATAGTGTAATTTTGTGTCTTCCATGTTCTGGAGTCTGGATCCACCAAAATCGACGTCATCGTCAACTCTTCACATCTTCGACAACTCGTACCCTTGAACATGTTTTACATCTACGACAATGTGTTGATTCTCGACATTTCGCACTCCTCCCGTAGTAACGATGTAACATATATATGTTTACAGATGAAGTTGATGATCAAGTCAAGATGTACTTGACGATGAACGTCCATCGCCTAAGAGTCAACAGTAGACAACGAATGGACATCGTGTGCAGCATAACCCAACACAGGTAATCTTACCTTTTTTGTCCTTACCATAACTCATTGCAGTCGCGATGGTCCATTGGTCAACTGGCCAAACATTTGATGTTGATGGTGGAGGTTCGAACCCAGTCCTGGTACTATGAGAAATAGGACATTGTTTGGTGTTAATTAATACGGTTAAGCCCTGCTTTGAACGATTGGTGAAGATAAAAAAAGCAATAGCATATGTTGTCTGTTGACAAAACCTTGACGTTGACAAAACCTAGACAAAACCTTGACGTTGACACATGGTGACCCATTCAGTGACCCATTCGTAAAATTGTCACTCCAAGTCTACGTTTTACGCTGAATTGAATCTGTTTTCTCGAATAATCGAGATTGGTAATTACGTTGTCATAACACATCTTATCATATGGGGGCGGTGGGGTAGCCTAGTGGTTAAAGCGTTCGCTCGTCACGCCGAAGGCCCGGGTTCGAATCCCAACATGGGTACAATGTGTGAAGCCCATTTCTGGTGTCCCCCGCCGTGATATTGCTGGAAGATTGCTAAAAGCGGCGTAAAACCATACTCAGTCAGTCAGTCTTAACATATGTTGTCTTAATATAACTGTACTATGTAGTATGTTTCTCCTAATCACTGGTTGAGAACTGACACGGAGCCATTTGAAACAACGATGTCTCAGCCGGAGGATATATTTTAAATTGTATACAATTTCATAAACGGTTCAAGCAGCATTGTCATCAATTAAACGCTGCCTAGTGAACGTATTGACCTGAGAACACACCCTTCATTCCATCTACAGGCAGACAGAGTTTGTTATATTTAGGATCTCGAGGATCATTTCATCATAAAAGGCTCTGTATGGACAAGACATCAATCAATTTTAGAGAGTAACTTACATTTCCATGTGTCATTTTTATATGTGTGCGATTATTTCCCCATATGGTTTCACGTGTTTGTATACAGTTACTACCGGAAGACACGTCAAACGTTTGATCTACTGAAACTGACAATAATAGACATGCTACGATTAGCGTTCATTCTAGATCAGTGGTGTATATTTCATTGAATGTGTTCCAATGGCTTTGCAATCCTTCATGAGTATATTGGGCTATTCGTGAAATACTCGTCTGAATATAAGTGTTTCAAGTGGGAGAACAATGTGTATAGATTGATACCATCATCAGTTAAGCTACATATTTTCTTTGCCAGTTGTATTGCTTGTTTACCTATTGTGATATACACGATATAAGAATACAAATATCAAACTCTATTACGTGGTGAAATATCAAAATAACTCATTGCTGAGATGTAGTGTGATAGACATGTAAAGAGTGCAGTAATATTGAGATGGTAATGATAAATTCATTGATATTATAAAAGAAGGTTTTCCCTTGCCAATGCATTTATTATTAATTTTAGAGAAATACAGTCAATTTAGGTTCAAAACTAGGCGTATCATGTGTTGGGAAAGTGTTGTTCCTTTTTAAAACCTTATAAATAATAAACTCCATAGGTATAGGTTTCACTCAAGTGGAACAAACTTGTGAATTCGATATCACATGTTTTCATCAATATATGTTGGTTTCGCTTGTGGATTAACGAACATTCAGAGATGATTTATATCTTTGTCATTGGAAAACGGATCAGAAAATCGTTTGAAATATAGAATGATATTTATATATCTAAGTCAAAATTGTACAATGCCGAACATGTGTTGTTCGGAGATTTTGGGAAATTTTTATAACAAAATTTCATTCTCCATTTAATGATTGTGTGTCTTTATAATGAAACCAATATGGCTGTTGATGTATTTAATAACATCCTATCATAAAATTGGTATAAAAATATCCACTGTTTGCTTAGTTGCAACAGATATATGTCGACATTTATTACATGCTGCCTGATCTAAAGGCTTATGTTAAATTATATTGCCTGTCATTACATGATTTGTTGTCTTTTACAATCAATTGTTCACCCAATATAACTGTGAACGGATAATTAAATATAATGAAAATTTATTTAATCTTAGAAAACTAGGCCATCAGTTATTTGGATTTGGACGTAATTACTACTGGTGATTTCATATGTACAATGAATACATGAATACTTTTATGAATAAGTATCCATTCGGGTTGAATTGTATCATCGTGATTTTCATTAACTAGTAAAACCGGTTTGATTATTCTCTGATGTTGAACATTTATTTACAACAATAGCCTACTGTTTAAACTAGCTACTGTAATATAATGTTTGTGTGAAAGATAGCTGCGATCTCCATGCCTCTTTAAACGTATCCGAATCCACATGATAATGATATTGATTTGAACATTTGAGTGACAGGACACTTCATACGTCATTACCCATCATGTTCGCCCAGTCGGCGTAACGTGTCGATTTCACGCGGCAAATTTCTGACAGCTATAGACACTGATAAATACTGAAATCAGACAGAAATGGACATTATCTCTCACGGTTTAATTTAAACAAGACAAAAAAGATGCTGGACACAACTCGCTAAAGCTATTAATGTCGCAGGGGTGACATATGTGCTCTGTAGGGTGGAGAGGCGTTAGGGTCGAGAGTGAGTGGAATCCTACGGTTGAAGGGGGAGGGGGAGGGCATTGAACTATAACGTCCTCTTGCAACAGGTGGGATATATCTCAACTGACGCAAGTGCATCAATTTAGATCAAGTGACAGACAACTTTGCCTTTATCAATGTACAATAATAAAATGTTATTGAAAACCACAGACTATTGTTACGCCAATATTTATTACAAACTAGCAACACAATAGTGATAGTTAACATCTATCTATACACACACGCTATATTGTCAACAAAGACGATTGTTTTCTTAATTAGTTCCATTTCACCGTTCATATACATGGCAAGTAATTAATTCATGAACATTTGAAACTGACTGAAAATATAGGTGTGACCTAGTATCTGTAGTGGGTTAGTTACATCCTGGAAAGCAATATTCTTCTCGAATATATTTTTATGAAAGTGTATATGAAAATTGCAACATTCTGGGCTATACAGTTTGTGATATATCATATCGTGGTCTGTACAGTTTGTGCGTTTTCTCAAGGTATGTGCCAAACAACATCAAGATTCAACCAACAACGCTATTCATTCAATAAGTTTGCCACATCTGTGTAAATAAAAAAGTTCTTGACATATACCTGATTGATTCACTTAATGATTTTCGCTAAAATTCCCACCTCATATAATACATCCAATTGAGATATATATACTACTCACACTTTGCTAAGGATCACAAAAATTCACAACTTTACTTAAACGTAGATGTATAATTTGAATTTGTATCCAATTAAATCTGGATGAATAAGAATATGGTAACCCCTCTTTAGGCAAACAGTCACTTTAATCTAACCTTAAGCACTTGATACATGAGTAACCATAAAAATGGTTTTCATGGCACCAGTCAACCATTTTGCAAATCATGCAACGGGTGACTGACAAGTACACAACACCTGTCAATAGCAGGTATGAAATGACAAACTGAAACCTAGGATCCATGCTTATAATAGCTTAGCTATTTAAACCAAATTTGACCCCACATCATAGTTTTCTGTTGAATCCAATATCTGATCCTTAGCAAAGTGTGAATAGTGTATTTTAAAGGTTACTTTATTGACTCTGGAAGCACACCATTAACCGAGTACAATTTATTCAAGGTGTCTATTTTTATTTTGAGAAATAGACGCGTCACCTCTGAAAACATGAATCAGTGGTTTGTGATAAAATCGAACAACGAACTAAAAAAATGCGGAAAGTCAAAACACTTCCGTCAACTGAGTCCACTTAGATGTCTGCCTGCGTCGTTGTACGTTATACCACGAGCACTCCGCGAACCTTTCCCTGTGGCAAATCGTTCAATTGGAGAATATGATATAATTTTATAACGTGTGAATCGTCCGAGGGCATGACCTCCAGATAGGAGCTCACGTTAACAGTATATACACATTCTCCCCACACAGACTCAAAGTTAGCCTACAGTGATAATACGTGGCTTTCACGAAACTTACTAACGATATATTATCATGAAACCTCGATAAGTTCCACTGCTCCGACATTAGCACTCCAATAAACATTATTTTCATTAAGACTTAATTAAAATATCATAAACTCTTAGAGGTGGCTTTTGCAGAACATTTGAGATGTTAGATGTTCTCGAAGCTTTAAATGATGAACGAGGGATATGTCTATTGATGTAATGAGTGATTGGGATGAGATTTAAAAATAAATATACAAGGAATTGAGATGTAATCGTTTGCTGTATGTAACTGACATTAGTATGTATCGGTAACATCTTTGTTTTGCGTTAATATGACAAACTCTCTTCATCGAAGAGTCGTACATATTTCAACTATCAGTCTGCTATCCTTTTAGAATGTGTGACATACAGGGATATCATGTTGTCGATTTCAAACAGTTTCCAGTTGAGACCTTGTTTACGACTTCTCAGAGGTAGTGCATCGTATACATCGTCTCTTTGATGTTCTGCACATACTGAAGAAAGCGTATCTGAGAAAGGATGGTCAAGTCACAAATCTTTCCAGACAGAGAAAACCTGTTGAAAAGTATTCCTGCAAGGTGACCAGGAACTTGTAGACAGTAAATCACCAAGTATTTTGGTTGTAAAAGTATTTCCTCGCCTTTCATGTTACCGTTTCCGAATCAAAAGGCCATCTGCGCATCACGTGACAAACGTCATCGGGTGCTGGCTGAGTGACCGTCGTGAACGAAACACTGGAGGTGACGTAAATTTATTGCCGTCCAAAGGCGGTCAGTGAAAGAAAAGCGATGTAATAGATTGCCCTTGTGTGTTTTAGGGCGCCTATCGCCGCTACTATATCTTACGTGGACAGGAGTGTACAAATAATTACAGCTTCTGATCGACCCCAAGACCTACGTGATCATATTCGCAATAGCGCATTGATTAAACCCATTGCAGAAGATTAAAGTGTATTCCCAGACTTAAAATAATCTGCTAAT